GCATCTAAAGAGTCTCAGAGTACCAAAGTATTACAGTAGCATCTAAAGAGTCTCAGAGTACCAAAGTATTACAGTAGCATCTAAAGAGTCTCAGAGTACCAAAGTATTACAGTAGCATCTAAAGAGTCTCAGAGTACCAAAGTATTACAGTAGCACCTAAAGAGTCTCAGAGTACCAAAGTATTACAGTAGCATCTAAAGAGTCTCAAAGTACCAAAGTATTACAGTAGCATCTAAAGAGTCTCAGAGTACCAAAGTATTACAGTAGCACCTAAAGAGTCTCAGAGTACCAAAGTATTACAGTAGCATCTAAAGAGTCTCAGAGTACCAAAGTATTACAGTAGCATCTAAAGAGTCTCAGAGTACCAAAGTATTACAGTAGCATCTAAAGAGTCTCAGAGTACCAAAGTATTACAGTAGCACCTAAAGAGTCTCAAAGTACCAAAGTATTACAGTAGCACCTAAAGAGTCTCAAAGTACCAAAGTATTACAGTAGCACCTAAAGAGTCTCAGAGTACCAAAGTATTACAGTAGCCCCTAAAGAGTCTCAAAGTACCAAAGGAGCTGAGAGATCAGGTTTCTCCAAGTTTTCATGGTCTATTTAAATAAAGGTGTATTTGGCAGAGATGTGAGTTCAAACCGAGTGTGTGTGTCCTCCTACTGAGTGTGCGTGTCCTCGTTCTGAGTGTGTGTGTCTTCGTTCTGAGTGTGTGTGTCTTCGTACTGAGTGTGTGTGTCCTCGTACTGAGTGTGTGTCCTTGTACTGAGTGTGTGTGTGTCCTCGTTCTGAGTGTGTGTGTCTTCGTTCTGAGTGTGTGTGTTCTCGTACTGAGTGTGTGTGTCCTCGTTCTGAGTGTGTGTGTCCTCGTTCTGAGTGTGTGTGTCCTCGTACTGAGTGTGTGTGTCCTCGTTCTGAGTGTGTGTGTCCTCGTTCTGAGTGTGTGTGTCCTCGTTCTGAGTGTGTGTGTCCTCGTACTGAGTGTGTGTGTCCTCGTTCTGAGTGTGTGTGTCCTCGTTCTGTGTGTGTCCTCGTTCTGTGTGTGTCCTCGTTCTGAGTATGTGTCCTCCTACTGAGTGTGTGTGTGTCCTCGTACTGAGTGTGTGTGTCCTCGTTCTGAGTGTGTGTGTCCTCGTTCTGAGTGTGTGTGTCCTCGTTCTGTGTGTGTCCTCGTTCTGAGTATGTGTCCTCCTACTGAGTGAGTGTGTGTCTTCATTCTGAGTGTGTGTGTCCTCCTACGGAGTGTGTGTACTCCTGCTGAGTGTGTGTGTCCTCAAACTGAGTGTGTGTGTCCTCGTACTGAGTGTGTGTGTCCTCGTTCTGAGTGTGTGTCCTCGTTCTGAGTGTGTGTCCTCGTACTGAGTGTGTGTGTCCTCAAACTGAGTGTGTGTCCTCGTACTGAGTGTGTGTGTCCTCGTTCTGAGTGTGTGTGTCCTCAAACTGAGTGTGTGTCCTCGTACTGAGTGTGTGTGTCCTCGTTCTGAGTGTGTGTCCTCGTTCTGAGTGTGTGTCCTCGTACTGAGTGTGTGTCCTCGTACTGAGTGTGTGTGTCCTCGTACTGAGTGTGTGTGTCCTCAAACTGAGTGTGTGTCCTCGTACTGAGTGTGTGTGTCCTCGTTCTGAGTGTGTGTCCTCGTACTGAGTGTGTGTGTCCTCGTACTGAGTGTGTGTCCTCGTACTGAGTGTGTGTGTCCTCGTACTGAGTGTGTGTGTCCTCGTTCTGAGTGTGTGTGTCCTCGTACTGAGTGTGTGTGTCCTCGTTCTGAGTGTGTGTGTCCTCGTTCTGAGTGTGTGTGTCCTCGTTCTGAGTGTGCGTGTCCTCGTTCTGAGTGTGCGTGTCCTCGTTCTGAGTGTGCGTGTCCTCGTTCTGAGTGTGTGTCCTCGTACTGTGTGTGTGTCCTCGTCTTATAATCACCCAACCTTAACCATTTAAAAAAGTGTACCTTTAAATTGTATTGCCAACAACTAGCCTTTGTGACAATAAAGCTTTGACTCTTTGAATAAAACCTATTTATATTCACACAACGATGAAGGACACACCTCATATTTCTCAGATACTTGCTCAATGTTTTGTTTTGTTCAACATGTGATTGAAGTTGCATGTTTTTAAATGAGTCTATGATAATAATACATTGGATTTGTTATAGCGCTTTCCCTCATGCTCAAAGACTCCATGAAACCAGAATAGAAAGAGAACAGAGACGTAACTCAGAACGAGGCAGCATTCCTGGGACACATTACATCACTCTGGTATTTTCACACAGAGCGAAACAAAACCACGCCGCGCTGCCTGTTGGCTCAGAAACCTAATTATAAAACACGGTTATTAAAACTTGCTTATTTGTGTCTGTTTACAAAGTCTGCAGCAGCGCAGAGGAAGTCGTAGTTATTTACAAGCAAACAAAATACACACTGTTTGTCGGAAGTTAACGCCCCCCCCCATGCAAATGAGCCATAATCTCATTAGATATGTGCATATTTTAATACTTTCAGGAACACAATTCTGAACATTGGATAAAGTCAGGTTCTAAATTCTTGTTTCATTTTGTAGTCATGTTAGAATCTAAAGTTTTTACAGAAGGGATTTTGGATATCTCTAAAACAGCTCTAAACGGCTCTAAAATATCAATTTTCGCCATGTTTTTAGGTATATATAACTCAGGCTATGAATGATATATGAACAAACCCTTCTGTAAAAACCTTCATAATATTGATAGGAATATAACTGGAAGGTTTGGTGTATGTAACTGCTACTGAAGTGGACATTTCTCACTCGGAAGAGGAGAACAAACTCATTTTGAGAAAAGGACCTTTAAAGATAGCAGTGTGGCGCTAGCTAAACCCTGCTGTTCTCTGGATGATAGCCTGCGCATCGACGCACTCCGTGAAAGTATTTCATGTTCGGGGTCATTTGTTTTTTGTCTAACCTTGCTTCGTGCAAGTGACAATTGTTGTCGTCTTCTCTGTGAACGTTTTTATCGCTGTTCTTTTGCCATTTTGAGATTTAAATTTCCAGCGAAAGCTAAACCAGGAAGTGTTTTAGCACACCACGTGACGCATCTGAACGAATCACGTTCACCAGCCAATGAGATTTCGTTTTTTGGTTTAAGACCCCTTTGCACTTTCACGATTGGTTGCTGATACAAAGGAAATGACCATATTTGGATCCGATGAGATTGTGTAGGAGAGACAGAGCTTTCCAACGATACCTCTGATTACATGGTGCAAACAGCGGTCGCGGTACTTCATGTTACGTTAGAATGCTAACTTTTGGTGAATTTAGGAGAAACCTACAGACGCAAATAGACAAACTATCGTCAAATAAACACCTAAATGTGTATTTTGTACATTTTCCTTCCAAAAGCCTGAAAGAAAACATGTTATGGAATCAAAGTAGCACAACATATTAAAATTGACCAGTGCCTGAAAAACGATGTGTTTGTCTGCCGTGTCTCGCCTTCATGAGTGAGACACACCGGAGTGGAGGATCTGTGGGGTTTGTAGGTCGATGTAAGGGAAACACTGTTATTTGTATTACTATTATTAATAATAACGTGTGCATAGACCTTTTTCAGGGGCGGACTGGCCATCTGTAGAATGTCTCCCCCCGTTGACAATTCACTAACAACCCCCCCCCCTGTCATGTGGATATTATCCGGCTGGATTTATCAAACAGGTTCGTTTTCCACAGACCTTATTTTCCAAAATCCTATGGAGAAATCCCATTGCTTTTTTGTGGAGGGAACCCGAGCGCAGCTTACTTCCGGGTTTTAGGACGCGTCACTGCACCACTACGTTGATGCGATTTGATTGGATTGTGAGTCAAGGGAAGCCAGCCGCCTCTGGCTTCCCTTGGCATGGCCCTGACCAATCACAGGTTGGCAGGGACATGACGTGAGCCTCGTCTGATTGGTCAATCCTTCCATTTTTTTTCACCAAGGGAAGCCAATTTCGGCTGGCCTCCTCTCGCAACAGAGAGTGCAATCTACTGTTTCACCATAACATCTAGAGGGGCGCTGTTTCACTCTTTGTAAAATACTCAATGAGAGTGGGGGAGAGACGGGCCGGCAGCAACACACAGCAAAGGAGAATGACCGAAACTAAACGAAGTGTTTTTATTTATTTATTTAAATTATAACTACATTGCATTTAGCTGACGCTTTTATCCAAAGTGACTTACAATAAGTGCATTCAACCAGGAAGATACAAACTTGAAGAAAACAGAATCCTATAAGTACATCAGGTTTCATAGAGCCAACACATTTCAAGTGCTACTCAACTGGCTTTAGATAAGCCAGTCCTTTGTTAGTAAGTGCTTTGTTAGTAATGTTATTGCTCAAAGTGGAGTCGAAAGAGATGAGTTTTCAGTCTGCTCTGGAAGATGTGTAAGCTATCAGTACAGTTTAACCATGTCCTGGATGTAGGAAGGGCCAGATCCATTCACAGCATGATACGCTAGTACCAGTGTCTTGAAGTGGATTCTAGCAGTTACTGGAAGCCAGTGAAGGGAGCGGAGGAGCGGCGTGATGTGGTAACATTTAGGAAGGTTGAAGACCAGACGAGCCGCTGCATTCTGGATGAGCTGCAGAGGTGGGATGGCACATGCAGGTAGACCAGCCAGGAGGGAGTTGCAGTAGTCTAGGCGTGAGATGACGAGAGCCTGGACCAGAACCTGCTTTCTGGGTCAGGAGGGGACGTATCCTCCTGATGTTGTAAAGAGTGTATCTGCAGCAGCGGGTTGTTGCAGCGATGTTTGCAGTGAAGGACAGGTTGTTATCTCGGGTCACACCCAGACTCCTTGCAGTCTGAGTCGGGGAAACAATAGAGCTGCCAATGTTGATTGTTAGGTCAAGAGTGGGACAATCTTTTCCCGGAAGGAAAAGCAGTTCAGTCTTATCAAGGTTACAAGACTACAATCTGAAAAAACAGGGGAAGCCTGGCTTCACTTGGCCTCCAGGAGAAAACACCACTGGTGATTTCTAAGTATGTTCTCTCTTCTGCAGCATGGCGGAGGCTCACCAGGCGGTGGCGTTCCAGTTCACCATCACTCCAGAGGGGATCGACCTGCAGCTCTCATACCAGGCTCTGAACCTGATCCTCCGGTCGGGGGTTCGGTCCTGGAAGAAGAGAGTCAGCAGAATGAGGGTGAGCATGAGGGGAAATACCTGTATCTCTAAGATAGGGGGAGGAGGGGTTTAAGGATGTCATGTGTGTTAAATGACAGGGTTACATTCCCACCTGGAGAGAAGCAGGTCTAACGTGCTCGACAGGATGTCTGCAGCGACACACACACACACACACACACACACACACACACACACACGCACACGCACGTTGTGTTTGAGTCCAGAAATTGACCAAACAATGTTTGATAAGAAAATAACTAACATTTAAGATAGAAGATGTATGAGAAAAGTATTCACATCTATAGAAAAATAACAACTTGAAATACGATTTTTTTTTAAACGTATAAAATAACGTCACAATGTTTTAGGAAAAAACTGTAAACTTTACCATCCCAAATTACGATAGAAATTCAAAATAAAATTATTGGAAAAGGTATGAGAAAATAAACTCAGAAATATACGTGAAAAAAGACAAATTTATAGGAAAATATTTGAATTTGAAAATCTAATAATTTCACACCTTTTACCTTTTTGGTTAAAGGGGACCTATCATGCAAAATGCACTTAAAGCATTTGAGCTCCATACTATGTCAGAAATAATCCTTGATGTGGTTTAGAACAGGATGGCGTTTTATCACAGCAGAATTTAACTTTATCTCCGGTAGAATTCTGATCAGGCATTAGCTCCGCCTCCTCTTTTTTTTTTTTTTTTCAAGCTAAGGACCCAAAATCCGTATTTCTCTAACAGCTGTAACAGAGGGGTTTGAGCAGAATGAGGCATGGCTACAACGGGGGGTCTGTTTGGTGTATTAATCAAAACACTTCACAGACGTGTTGTGTATAGGTCTGGCCCTACAATAGATGATTCCAATATAGCATGATAGGTCCCCTTTAACTCTGTATTTTCAAAAATGACACCATTGATAAAACATCTGGAGTCACTATGCACACTTTGCAGAGGTGGAGGAAGTACTACATTATAAACTCTGGTACAGGATGGGGAAGCGTATTTTTCTGATGCGTTTTCTTCTTCTGTCTCTCTTCCTAGTAAGGAATTTGAACAGCTATTTATAACGTCTCGTTTAGACTACTGTAACTCCCTGTATATCGGTGTTGATAAGTGTTTGATCCGTCGCCTGCAGCTGGTCCACAATGCGGCTGCACGCCTTCTTACTGGGAAGAGACGTTATGACCACATCACACACAGACCTTTATTGGCTTCCTGTCAGCTACAGGATCCAGTTCATGTACTTACTTGTTGTTTGTAAATCATTGCATGGACTGGCACCACATTACCTGTCTGAGTGGTTGCACCGCCACGCTCCAGCTAGAGCACTGCGATCAGCTCAGCAGAATATGTTGGTGGTTCCTCCTCAATATGTATTCCCTGTACAGCACTTTGGTCAACTGAAGGTTGTTTTAAATGTGCTATATAAATAAATTGAGATTGATTCTGTGGTTTCAGAACGGCGTGATAAAGGGGGTGTACCCGGCCAGCCCCTCCTCCTGGCTGTTCGTCGTCATAGCGATACTCGCCACCATGTACATGCGCTCTGACCCCAGCATGGGTCTGATCACCAAGATACAGCAGCACCTGCCACTCAGGTAACCACACACACACACACACACACACACACACACACACACACACACACACACACACACACACACACACACACACACACACACACACACACACACACACACACACACACACACACACACACACACACACACACACGCGCTTCTTTTGGAAAACATGTTTTTCTTTTAGCCCATTTACCTCGTTAACGTAAATAATACTCGTGACATCAACACATGCATTATTTGTGATTATTAATAATGGTTGTTGGTAATGTATTAGCGACCCCCACAGATGACTGCTTTCATAGGAGCTCAGACCCTCATGAGAGCTCAGCTCCCATTGGCTCCCACATAACTCCAACCCTGGTTGTATGGCTGCACTTTAAATTGATATTCAACTGAAATCACAACATGAACTAATGCATTAATGTCATCAAGCACCACATTCTTTAAAGGTCAAATATGTGAATACATCCTCCATGTGATATCAGGAATCATATCGCCACTTCTATTCTTCATTGAGATATTGTATCATATTAATCCTTTAACAAATATTGAGCTTAATGTAATGTGAGTTCATTCATTCTGTGCTTTTATTTTGACGGCGGTTTTGGCACTGGTTGATTATTATATATTGGGCACAGGTGGAGGTGGGAGCATATGTTTTTTTAAAGCACAGGTAAAGAGAAGTTGTTGTTCTGTTGGATTATTGTAAACAGTTGTTAGTAAACAAACTGCACATTCTAGTGTTGAGAATTGATGGTTTCTCCCTGCACTTCCTGGAGCCTCAGCGTCACTTTTAGTCCAAAATAAATCCGTTATTTCTTAATTTCTGCCGTTAAATACTGATTTCTATAACATTTGGATTCTTCACGCAGCTTTAACCTTCACCCTGGTTCCTTTTGATCCACCTTTTGGCTCACGCTTCACTTCTGCCTCAGTAAATATGTCGGGGAGAGGCAGAGGAGTGGTTAGTGTTTACAGTTAGTGAATAAACTGGTAGTAGGTGAGAGTTCACAGAAACACACCTCCACCTGCTCACAGTGACTCACAGCTAGGGATGGGTACCGAGCCCCGGTGTTAAACGGGCCCCGGGGCTGAATTATTAAAGACCGTGGTACCGTTAAGTTTACACACACGGCTGCTACATGCAGCAACACACACACACACACACACTGCTACATGCAGCAACACACACACACACTGCTACATGCAGCAACACACACACACACACACACACACTGCTACATGCAGCAACACACACACACACACACACACACTGCTACATGCAGCAACACACACACACACACACACACACTGCTACATGCAGCAACACACACACACACACACACACACACACACTGCTACATGCAGCAACACACACACACACACACACTGCTACATGCAGCAACACACACACACACACACACACACACTGCTACATGCAGCAACACACACACACACACACACACACACACACCACTGCTACATGCAGCAACACACACACACACACACCACACACTCTGCTACATGCATCATCACACACACCGGAGGATATGGCTAGAGAACGCGCTCCGAGGTGTGGTTAAACTTTACCCGTCTCGCTCGTTGCCTAAAGTGCAATAAGAGTTTAGCATGTTAGGGCGGTAACACGAGCAATTTGTCTAAACATCTTGCACCACATCCAGACGGAGAAATGCACCGGGTTGGACTGTCTCTCTAGTAGCTCTGTAGCCCCATCCACGAGTAACGTTTCCACGTCAGGTGTTATGTATGCTAGCAGCAACACACGGAGCTAACTCAATGATTCAAACATGGGTTAATGATTAGAGGGAACTGAGTTATTTAGTTTGTTAAAGTTTCAGCCATTCTGTTCACAGTTCTGTCATCACATTATTTAATACCATTTGTTAAAACGTTGTTGTTTCTGTTGATGTGAAATATTATGTATTTCATTTAAATAAAAAGCAATGTTAGTTTTGTTCACAATTTGTTAATTTTCATTTAATCATTTATTTGAATAGGGACAATGCACATTAATGAACACTTTAGACAAATAATGCTTCAAGTGTAAATATGCCGGATTTTAGCTTTGAGCTAATTTCCATCCGTAGTCCCTGACATACAACATATAGTTAGTTTACCTCATTTTTCTCTCCAAAGAACCGATAAGAGTACCGTTAAAAGACCGGACCGATAAGCGGTATCGATAACAGTAGTAGTACCATTAAAACCTTAACGATACCCATCCCTACTCACAGTCTGGTTACATCACTCTGACACACAGGAGAACCTTTTTGATGCAAAAACGCCCAGAGACTTTTCTCATTATTGGACTTATTTATGAACACTTTCGTAAAGCAAAAACATTTTATTTGTATTTTTGCACTTCATCAACACCACCACCATGTTTCACAATGAGCCTTGGATGGTTTGAAAAATAATTGTCAATAAAAAAAACCTGCAGCTGCACCAACACTTAAAGGCGAGTTTAAAGGTCACCTATCATGCTATTTTTAGGCACATTTCAGATATGACGTCATATCGGACGCAAATCTGGATCAGCTCCGTTGTTCCCCCGTTTTTAGAGATGTGGGTACGGAGGAAAAGAGAGAGGGTTTTATTTCCTGACGCTGCGTGAGTTCCCTGACACACCGGGGACACACGTTGATGTAGAAAAGACATCACAAAGTGCATTTTGCATGATAGGTCCCCTTTAAGTAAAAACGTGAGAACATACTTGACTTAATGTAATACCTGTTTTACATGCTGCTGCTGCTGCTGCTATGGAAACATGACTCAATTTGGGGTCAAAGTATATTTTGTCTTATTTCAACATGTGGACATTTCTGCCATGAAGGGGCTGATTGGTTTTACTATAGACTAATTAGAGGAGTTGATAAAAGAAATACAAATAGGAAAATAAAGCTGTAATAAATGCGTGGCTGATGCACTGGGAAAGTAATCCTAAAAGTAACATCTCAAAGAAGGAGCATTTGAAGAAGAAAAACTCATAATTATCTGATCAAGAAAACTCACAAAATTAAGGTAAAAAAATCAATGAGAAATAAATCAAACATTTATTGATTGTTTGTAGCCTTTATTTAACCAGGTGAATCCCATTGAGATCAACGGTCTCTTTCTCAAGGGAGACCTGCGGTACATTAGTTACACATGAAAACAACAGAAAACAAAAAGGACATCACAACATAATTACAGGGGTACACATTAGCAACCTATTCACAGTGACAGGTATCCAATAACATAATAATAATAATAATAATGGGTTCCATTTATAAAGCACTTCATATTCTAATTCAAATCCCGAAGTGCTACAAGCAGTGAGCAGGAACAGTATAAATAGACATGACACAACACGGTAGAATTAAATAAAAAGCAATAAAAAATAAATAAAAATAAAAGGGTGGTAAAAAGGGGTCTAGGCAAAGGCTCTTTTGAAGAGATGGGTTTTGAGGCCTTTTTTAAAAGCCTCCACGCTCTGTGGTGCTCTCATGTGGTCGGGGAGAGCGTTCCACAGACCGGGGGCAGCCGAGCAGAAGGCCCGGTCTCCCATGGTACGGAGCTTAGTCCTGGGGGGGGTCTGAGGAGGTAGGAGTTGCTGGAGCGGGTGGTCCGCAAGGAGGTATGGGGGGTGAGGAGTTCCTTGAGGTAGGGAGGGGCAGTTCCATGGACACACTGGTGGGTGAGGACGGAGACCTTGAATTCGATCCTCAGTTCCACGGGTAGCCAGTGTAGTGCTTTAAGGATGGGGGTGATGTGGTCATATTTGCGCACCCTCATCACATTTCATCCAGCTGCGCTTTAAAATGATGCGTAAAAAGGAGGGTTTCTGCCCCGTTACTTCTCCGCTGCTTTCTTGTCCCAGTTCCCAAATACAGTTCAATCGACCGGACTTCTTTCTGCAGATGTGAGCGTCCTTAACAACGGTCAATAAGTGCTTGACAGCGGTCTGTACTACTGGATTAACAACGTGTTATGAATTGACCAATCAGAATCGAGTATTCAACTAAGCCATGTAATAATGATTGTTATTATCAATTAAGACAACCTAATTATGTATCACTACATGTCATTTAACCAAGAGAGAACTCCATTTAAATAAGTAAGTCTTATTATTATCATATTTGCTTTATATACTGATGCATGTTCACACACACACACATTATTGATTAACTGACTTCACAATTTACTTAGTTTCTTTAAATAAATGTACTTTAATTGTAAATGAATCGTGTGGTCTCCTTCTTTTGTCCGTCAGGGCGTGACAATATCCTTAACATTGGTGTGTGTGTGTGTGTGTGTGTGTGTGTGTGTGTGTGTGTGTGTGTGTGTGTGTGTGTGTGTGTGTGTGTGTGTGTGTGTGCTAATCCAGCAGAGGTCGCTGTTGCTCTTCTGCAGTTTTAAGATATGACTGAGATTAACTCAGTAGTTCACAGTCTGCCCTCTGCTGGCTGTAACGCTGCATTACGTGCATGTGTGTACCAACTGTTACTTAAAGACCGAGTCTGGCTTTAGGGAACACTCCTTTGACCCCATCTGTTGTTGTGACTGTAATTACATCAACAAGTCTAGACCCAGAATATAAGACCACCCCTCTTTTTCAGATTTCTTTCTAGGAAAAAATAACCCGTCTGTATTAACTCTAATATATGTCCTGTGTGTGTTCCAGCCTCCACGTGTCCCTCAGCTCTCAGGGTCAGACCATGCTGTCGGCTCTGCTCTTCAGCACGCTGCTCTGGCTCAGCCTCATCCTGGCTCTCAGGTTCTGTCTGAAGCTGCTGCTCTCATACCATCAGTGGATGTTCGAGCAGCACGGACGAGTCTCCAACACCACCAAGATCTGGGTGGTGAGACCACACACACACACACACACACACACACACACACACACACACACACACACACAGTCACACAGTCACACACACACACACACACACACACAGTCACACACACACACACACACACACACAGTCACACACACAGTCAGTCACACACACACACACACACACACACACACACACATAGAGAAAGTCCTGCATTCAAGTATCGGCAAAAAGGGAAGTTTTTAAACCGACTTATTCACATTTTTTAAAATAAAATACACATGTGAACATCTACTGAATATTCACCCTCTGTCTGAAACCAGAGCCCAGTCTGCTCTGATTGGTCAGCTGGCCGGCTCTGTTTAGAGCAGCTTAGAGATGACCCGCCCCGCGTACAATGTGTTGGAGCGCTAGCCAATAGGAGCGCTAGTGTTACGTAGTGATGTCACAATGTTCTTGTTTCTCTCAGACTCTCCTCAGGCTGTTATCCAGCAGGAAGCCTCTGCTCTACAGCTATCAGACGTCTCTACCTCACCTTCCAGTTCCTGTGATCAAAGAGACTCTCAACAGGGTGAGCACACACACACACACTCACTCACTCACTCACTCTCTCTCTCTCTCTCTCTCTCTCTCTCTGTCTCTCTCGTTAAGTGTTGACCTCACCTGCTCATTAAGTGTTGACCTCACCTGCTCATTAAGTACCCACCTGTTCTCTCCTCAGTACCTGCTGTCTGCTCGCCCCCTGCTGACGGACGAAGGTTACGAACGGATGACTAAACTTGCGGCTCAGTTTGAAAACAACCTGGGGAACCGTCTGCAGAGATACTTGAAGCTCAAAGCTCTGTGGGCCACCAACTACGTGAGAGACACACACACACACACACACACACACACACACACACGTGACATTTGAGTACAAATTTGTTGAGAAAAGTCGGAATTTTAGAAGAAAAAATAAACACATTAAAAAAAAAGGCACATTTTTTATAAAAATAGCAAATTTGAATAATACAAACGATCAATGCTTGAAAAAATGTCTATGTAATTTTTCCCGAGAAATCTCTGATATTTAGTGGAAGTCAATGGCTGTTTTTCGTCCTGTTTATGATAAATGAGTAACTGTCTGTGTTCCAGGTGAGCGACTGGTGGGAGGAGTACATCTACCTGAGGAGCCGAGGACCAATCATGGTCAACAGCAACTACTACGGCATGGTAACTTCCACACAGCACTTATATATTAAAATACTTCATCATTAAGACAGAAAACAGACATTTAACACAATATCACAATCTCTGAGGGCGGTGTGTCCGAGAGCCTCTGACGGACCTTTGATCTCTGAGGGCGGTGTGTCCGAGAGCCTCTGACGGACCTTTGATCTCTGAGGGCGGTGTGTCCGAGAGCCTCTGACGGACCTTTGATCTGGGATTCATCTCTGTATTTAATTTAGGGATTTACTCTTCCTCCATTTGTTCCTCTGTGAAACCCCTCCAGAGTTTTATCAGTTTAAACGTCCCTCTGTCGTCCTCTGTTGTATTTGAGAAAAAAAATTAGAATTCTGAGAAACAAAGTCATAAAAAAATTCTGAATTTTGAGAAAAATATCTGAATTTGAGGGGAAAAGAAAATGTCCAGAGGAAATACAAATTTGCGAAAAAAATAGAATTCTGAGGAAAAAAAAGTTAGAATTCTGAAAAAAAGTCAAATTATAGGAAAAAAAGTGAAATTTAAGTAAAAAAATAGAATTACGAGAAAAAAAGTTAGAATTCTGTGATTTTTTAAAGAATTCTGAGAAAAAAGTCAAATTTCAGTAAAGAGGCAAATGTGAGGAAAAAAAGTCAAATATGAAAGAAAAAAAATTGAATTACGAGAAAAAAGTCAAATAATAGTCTCCTTAGTGTTCTAACGTCCTGTGTCTCTATGTTAAGACCCTCCAGAGTCTCCTCAGTGTTCTAACGTCCTGTGTCTCTATGTTAAGACCCTCCAGAGTCTCCTCAGTGTTCTAACGTCCTGTGTCTCTATGTTAAGACCCTCCAGAGTCTCCTTAGTGTTCTAACGTCCTGTGTCTCTATGTTAAGACCCTCCAGAGTCTCCTCAGTGTTCTAACGTCCTGTGTCTCTATGTTAAGACCCTCCAGAGTCTCCTTAGTGTTCTAACGTCCTGTGTCTCTATGTTAAGACCCTCCAGAGTCTCCTTAGTGTTCTAACGTCCTGTGTCTCTATGTTAAGACCCTCCAGAGTCTCCTTAGTGTTCTAACGTCCTGTGTCTCTATGCTAAGACCCTCCAGAGTCTCCTCAGTGTTCTAACGTCCTGTGTCTCTATGTTAAGACCCTCCAGAGTCTCCTTAGTGTTCTAACGTCCTGTGTCTCTATGTTAAGACCCTCCAGAGTCTCCTCAGTGTTCTAACGTCCTGTGTCTCTATGTTAAGACCCTCCAGAGTCTCCTCAGTGTTCTAACGTCCTGTGTCTCTATGCTAAGACCCTCCAGAGTCTCCTCAGTGTTCTAACGTCCTGTGTCTCTATGTTAAGACCCTCCAGAGTCTCCTCAGTGTTCTAACGTCCTGTGTCTCTATGCTAAGACCCTCCAGAGTCTCCTCAGTGTTCTAACGTCCTGTGTCTCTATGTTAAGACCCTCCAGAGTCTCCTCAGTGTTCTAACGTCCTGTGTCTCTATGTTAAGACCCTCCAGAGTCTCCTCAGTGTTCTAACGTCCTGTGTCTCTATGCTAAGACCCTCCAGAGTCTCCTCAGTGTTCTAACGTCCTGTGTCTCTATGTTAAGACCCTCCAGAGTCTCCTCAGTGTTCTAACGTCCTGTGTCTCTATGTTAAGACCCTCCAGAGTCTCCTCAGTGTTCTAACGTCCTGTGTCTCTATGTTAAGACCCTCCAGAGTCTCCTCAGTGTTCTAACGTCCTGTGTCTCTATGCTAAGACCCTCCAGAGTCTCCTCAGTGTTCTAACGTCCTGTGTCTCTATGTTAAGACCCTCCAGAGTCTCCTCAGTGTTCTAACGTCCTGTGTCTCTATGTTAAGACCCTCCAGAGTCTCCTCAGTGTTCTAACGTCCTGTGTCTCTATGCTAAGACCCTCCAGAGTCTCCTCAGTGTTCTAACGTCCTGTGTCTCTATGTTAAGACCCTCCAGAGTCTCCTCAGTGTTCTAACGTCCTGTGTCTCTATGTTAAGACCCTCCAGAGTCTCCTCAGTGTTCTAACGTCCTGTGTCTCTATGTTAAGACCCTCCAGAGTCTCCTCAGTGTTCTAACGTCCTGTGTCTCTATGCTAAGACCCTCCAGAGTCTCCTCAGTGTTCTAACGTCCTGTGTCGCTATGCTAAGACCCTCCAGAGTCTCCTCAGTGTTCTAACGTCCTGTGTCTCTATGTTAAGACCCTCCAGAGTCTCCTCAGTGTTCTAACGTCCTGTGTCTCTATGTTAAGACCCTCCAGAGTCTCCTCAGTGTTCTAACGTCCTGTGTCTCTATGTTAAGACCCTCCAGAGTCTCCTCAGTGTTCTAACGTCCTGTGTCTCTATGTTAAGACCCTCCAGAGTCTCCTCAGTGTTCTAACGTCCTGTGTCTCTATGCTAAGACCCTCCAGAGTCTCCTCAGTGTTCTAACGTCCTTCTCTCCGCAGGACTTCCTCTACGTTTCCCCCACTTCGGTGCAGGCGGCTCGGGCCGGAAACACCATCACCGCCCTGCTGCTGTACCGACGCAAAGTGAACCGCGAGGAACTCAAACCGGTGAGCAATGCTGCATTCTGGGGGTTTTGTGGGTGGAGAAGCATGTTTGCAAAGTGTCTGGAAGGAAACGGTGACGCCATGAAAAGTCATATTTAAAAAAAAGTCTAATTTGGGGAAAAAGTGAAATTTTAGAAATAAGTTGGAATTCTGAGAAAAAATTCCAATTTTTTTTTTTTATTAGAAAGAAAATAGTCAAATTTGAGAAAAAAATTGAATTCTGTCAAATTTGACGAAAAAGTCAATATTTTTTCTGACTTTATGCTTCTTCTTGAAAAATGACTGGTTTAATAAAGAAAATAAATATGAAATGATATTAATAATAGAAGTGTTTCTCTTTGTGTTTCAGAGTCGAGTTCCAGGCACCGTCATCCCTCTGTGTGCCGCCCAGTGTGAGAGGATGTTCAACACAACAAGAACACCTGGAGAGGAGACGGGTAACACACACACACGCACGCACGCTCACACACATGCTCTCACACACACACACACATGCTCACACACACACACTCACACACACACTCACACTCACACTCACACTCACACTCACACTCACACTCACACTCAGGCCCCGCTCACACGGGACCGTTTGCGTTTATGCACAGTATGCGTATTCAAAAAAGTCTTCCGTTCACATGCATTCGTTTCATTTAACGTGTCTGTTCAAACGAGACCGCTGGAAACGCTGTAGTACATATGCCGGGACTGTAAGTAGCGCTGTAACTTCCGCCAAAATACACCAAAAGCCGCGAAGAAGAGCAGAAGAGCAGTCCGAGCAGCCCCGCCACAATGTTGCCATGGCTACCCTTCTGTTTAAGCCCCGCGGTGTATTTAGCAACATGTAGTTCATGTAATTCTCCATGTCCACTTGTTGCTGATGGTTGTGGTAGAGGAGCTGTAGATTTTGCACTAATATCTGTAGCATGGTCAGTAGCAGTAGCACTAGCAGTAGCTACTGACAGGAGGAAGTGTGTGTGGCGATTGCTGGTATTCAGCGGGATATAGTCATTTCCTCAGCATGTAAATATATGGATAAATGCAACGGGGAAGTTAACTGAAAGAAACCGAATCTGTGGATATTGCATCGACCGACCAAGAAGCACGTCTCTATGGAGAGGACGGCTCAGAAAGAGAGATATTCTCTACAAACACCGGGTGAGATGCACCTTTGTCAATATAATGGATCAATTGATGAAATCTGACTCTGTTTATTTTGTTTAAGGAGTATATTGGGCGTTAACAATTCTGGTTTGCCTTTTATAATATTATTTCATTCAAGAACCCCTTGTGCGTTTAATTAACACAGCTATTTTTGATAGTTGCTACAGCAGTGAGCAGGAGAGGTTATTTTTTCAGGAAATATTCGTATAGAGGTGATTACACGGACTCGGTTGACCCCCCAGAGCGTTTCGTTTGCAAATCTATCCACCTTGGGACCCGTTATCGTTTGTGGGGTCAGTTTCTATCGGCCTCGTGTAAATAATAGGGCTATACGCACGCGAAACTATGCAGATACAAGCAGTTTTGTCCTCGTGTAAACGGCGCCTCACACTCACACTCACACACACGCTCACACACACACACACACACACACACACACACACACGCTCACACACACACACACACACGCTCACACACACACACACACACACACACACACACACACACATGCTCACACACACACACATTTCATTGCCACAATGAGTCCCGTATTTTAAATGCATTATACGGAAACATTCACAAGCAAATTTGCATAATCACCTTTATGGACTGACATAATTACAACCATTTCAAATAAGTGAGCTATCTGCCCAATCCAGTCCATCTTTAAACCTGAAAATCAAAAAATAGGTGGACTGAGAGTCTCGCCACTCCATTGATTAAAGTTTAATCTTGGATCCTCAAAGTTTAGAAATGGATTCAGCTTCCCCCATAACCCCGAAAAACCTTTCCAAAATCTGCCTATATGGTCCATAGGAGTGATTATGCTAATTGTGCTAATCGTGCTAATTACCCAACATAAGTTAGCACCCTTCAGTTTCTAAATGCTAATCTAAGCCTAAACACTAAAGCATTTATCAATAAGTCTGAATATTGGTTTAAAATGTTGACAAAAGTGACATTTGAAAAAAGTCAGAATTTGTGAAAAAATCTAAATTTGAGAAAAAAGTAACATTTTGAGAAACATTTAAACTTGAGGTACTCAAAATGTCTGGGAACCCACTGTTGGCAAGTAGTCTATAACACTAATCTACTAAAACTAATCCAACCCTAAACACCAAAGCATGTATCAGTCAGTCTGAATATTGGTTTAGTATAGGTACGATAGAATACGTAAGGGATAATGTGCAGCGAGGCGGTCATTATGGGAACACTCGACAGGCTGATCAGGAGCCCAAGGCGAAGCGGAGGGATCTTGATCTGCATGAAGGGTTTTCCCCATAACGACCAAGTCGCTGCACATTTTCCCGCTTATTACACGGCCACATTCTCAACAAAGTAACGATATCCCAATATTAATTTAAATGCTTTTATTGATTTAAAAAATAGTATTATTGATTTAAAAAATAGTAGGCTATTATTGATTTTAAATGACATGCATCCGCTAAGAAAAATAGTCCGTTGTTACCGTTTGAACTACGTAGCAACGGCAGGAACTGCTTCGATAGCGTTTGATTACAGATTTGAAAACATCGTTGCTTGCTTTAAAAGTAGCACACTTCATGATGTCAAACCTTGGGAAGTATCTAGATACCCCTGCCCTAATGCCAAAGGAACTGGCAACTCAATATGTTTTGCCGTTTGATGTCTATGTCTGGACCGTTGCGTAAAAAGGAGGGTTTCTGCCCCGTTACTTCTCCGCTGTTTTCTTGTCCCAGTTTGAAAAGCAATCTGTATGCAGTTTGCTTTTCGGCCAAACTGAATACAGTTCAATCGACCGGACTTCTTTCTGCAGATGTGAGCGTCCTTAACAACGGTCAATAAGTGCTGGACAGCGGTCTGTCTGTTCTGGATTAACAACGTGTCACGTGTTCTGAATCGACCAATCAGAATCGAGTATTCAACTAAGTCATGTAATAAAAACAGATATATAACCTGGCCTCCTCTCTCCTCAGATGTTCTGCAGCACTGGCAGGACAGTGAGTTTATCGCCGTCTACCACCGGGGGCGCTACTTCCGCCTCTGGGTTTATCGAGCGGGTCGTCTGCTTTCCCCCCGAGAAATAGAGCTTCAGATCCAGAGAATCCTGGAGGATCAATCTGTCCCTCTGCCTGGAGAGGAGAAGCTGGGAGCGCTGACTGCAGGAGACAGGTGGGAATGAGTCTCTAAACTCTGCAGGAGACAGGTGGGAATGAGTCTCTAAACTCTGCAGGAGACAGGTGGGAATGAGTCTCTAAACTCTGCTGGAGACAGGTGGGAATGAGTCTCTAAACTCTGCTGGAGACAGGTGGGAATGAGTCTCTAAACTCTGCAGGAGACAGGTGGGAATGAGTCTCTAAACTCTGCAGGAGACAGGTGGGAATGAGTCTCTAAACTCTGCAGGAGACAGGTGGGAATGAGTCTCTAAACTCTGCAGGAGACAGGTGGGAATGAGTCTCTAAACTCTGCAGGAGACAGGTGGGAATGAGTCTCTAAACTCTGCTGGAGACAGGTGGGAATGAGTCTCTAAACTCTGCAGGAGACAGGTGGGAATGAGTCTCTAAACTCTGCTGGAGACAGGTGGGAATGAGTCTCTAAACTGCTGGAGACAGGTGGGAATGAGTCTCTAAACTCTGCAGGAGACAGGTGGGAATGTGTCTCTAAACTCTGCAGGAGACAGGTGGGAATGAGTCTCTAAACTCTGCAGGAGACAGGTGGGAATGAGTCTCTAAACTCTGCTGGAGACAGGTGGGAATGAGTCTCTAAACTCTGCAGGAGACAGGTGGGAATGAGTCTAAACTCTGCTGGAGACAGGTGGGAATGAGTCTCTAAACTGCTGGAGACAGGTGGGAATGAGTCTCTAAACTGCTGGAGACAGGTGGGAATGAGTCTCTAAACTGCAGGAGACAGGTGGGAATGAGTCTCTAAACTGCTGGAGACAGGTGGGAATGAGTCTCTAAACTCTGCAGGAGACAGGTGGGAATGAGTCTCTAAACTCTGCTGGAGACAGGTGGGAATGAGTCTCTAAACTCTGCTGGAGACAGGTGGGAATGAGTCTCTAAACTGCTGGAGACAGGTGGGAATGAGTCTCTAAACTCTGCAGGAGACAGGTGGGAATGAGTCTCTAAACTGCTGGAGACAGGTGGGAATGAGTCTCTAAACTGCTGGAGACAGGTGGGAATGAGTCTCTAAACTCTGCAGGAGACAGGTGGGAATGAGTCTCTAAACTCTGCTGGAGACAGGTGGGAATGAGTCTCTAAACTGCTGGAGACAGGTGGGAATGAGTCTCTAAACTCTGCAGGAGACAGGTGGGAATTTGTGAAAATATTCAGAAATCTGAGAAAAATTGAGATTTGCGGGAGACAGGTGGGAAACATGGAGAGGTGCAGGAATGAGTCTCTGAGTAAAAGTGACATTTGAGAAAAAAGTCAGAATTTGTGAAAAAAGTCAGAAATCTGAGCAAACAGGGAAATTTGAGAAAAGAGTGAAATTTGTGAAAGAAATGCAGAAATGTGAAATACATTTAATAATTTAGTGAACAAAGTGACATTTGAGAAAAAAGTCAGAACTTGTAAAAGAGAAAGTCATAATTTGTTAAAAAAAAGTATTGTATAACAAAAGTCACATTTCAATACAACAGTATCAATCTGTACAGAGACATGCCACCATCCCCAATCTTCAGCAGCATGAAGGATTATAGACTGGGACCACTAGGGGGCAGCAAGAGGACACACTGCTGCTAAAAGTCAAATTTGAGAAAACATTTAAATTTGAGAAAAGATAGACATTTGTGAAAAAAGTCAGAAATCTGAGAAAAAGTCAAATATATAAGAAATAAGTCAGAATTTGAGAAAAAAAAATCAGAATATGTGAAAAAAATAATACGTTTACATTTTTTTTCAACACAACAGAATAAATCTTCTCCCCACTCCTCAGCATGTTGTAGGATTATAGACTGTAACCACTGGGGGGCAGCAGAGTACACACTTCCTCTTCAGTATAATGACCACACACACACAGCCTGACACCCTGGTCATGTTCTGAACCACACTTCCCTATCTGAGCCCTGGGTTCAGGATATTGCGCAATCTAAAGAACAAATGGGCTCAAAGGTTAAAAGCCAGGAAACTCCGATAAGCTCTGGAAAGCTCTCGGATGTTCAAATACTGTCGAATGTGTCACTTCATCTCAAGGGGTGTTTGGAGGACGCTGTGCATTGTTCACTGAAGTATAACTTATCTTTTAACGGAAGACGTTGGAAGCTTTTTGACGTCTTGACCCACACGGGATCCCAAATTCAGATCTAAACAATAGTGGATTTTTCTGAGATTACAGTCAGGATTTTGACTTTAAATGTCAGATTGGATATATGACTTTTGGTCAGATCTAAAAATAAATGTCCCTAAGAATTCTGAGGAAAAGTCAGAATTTTTAGAAAAAAAGTTTTGAGAAAAAGTCGGAATTCAGTGAAAATAATTTCTGAAAACGTTCTCAGTACTCAAATACTGTAACCTTTTTTTTCCTTGGAATTTTGACTTTTTGGAATTTTGCAAGTTGTTTTTCACAGAGTTAGAAATGGAGACAAAATGAAGAAGGTCAGGGATAAAAAGGAAACTCGTATCAGGAAATAATGACAGATATGCTTCTGTAACAAAGAGCCACCGGGAGGAGGAAATGAGGGTGTGTTTGTGTGGGTGGGTGTTGTGGGGGAAACTTCTGAAGCAATTGGAAACAGGACTCAGATAGACACAAGGAGAGCTGGATGGCAAACACTGACGGTTTATTTGAAGTTACGGCCGGAGAATTCACAAGACATGTGGTGTGTCACGAGTTGACACAGGTTGAGATGCCAAATCAATTCTGAAGAACTCTTTCTGTAGCTCCAGGTTTGAACTAGTTCAGAGTGTAATAATCAGCATTCTTCATCAGTGAGACTAAAGCAATATGGACCCTGAATCTAACTAGAGCTGTCGTCCATAGAAAAGAATGTGCGCCAGGGAACCTACGTCCCTGAACAGTAAACTACCTCATGTCAGCTTGTCCTTAAGAGAGCCCCAGGCCGTAGACCTATGCCGTGGGAAAGGAGACAGTGAGAGGAGAAAATGATGAACTGTGTCAAAGGTTGAATACCTAAGTAAATTATTCCCCAACAGTTGTGCTGTTTAACTTGGAGTGTGTTCATGCTGATGGACAGGGGAGATACACAAAGCATGAAGCAGAAAACACACTCACACACTTGAGTTAAGTTTGAACTTTTTGACAGATCTTGTTTGAGTTGGTAACAAATTCACATCTGTGTGTCTGATAATGTGTTTGATATCTAATAGTGTTCCTTTGTGTTTCTCTCAGGGTTCCTTGGGCTAAGATCAGAAAGCAGTATTTCAGCTCTGGGATCAATAAGCGATCTCTGGATATCATCGAGAGGTCGGCCTTCTTCGTGACGCTGGACGATGAAGAACAAGGCATGAAGGGAGACGATCCCGTGGGAAATCTGGACCGATACGCCAAATCTATTCTGCACGGGAAGTGCTACGATCGGTGAGGAAATGAAACAAATTGGCGTCTAGAGAATGGATCGCAAACCAGGGATCAATATCTCTCATTGAACCCAGAAAAAGCTAAATAGTAGTAAACTTTTTGAAATCCGAATTAACCGGGAATTGTGAAATATTTAAATCGCATTAAACACATTATTTGTTAAAGTTAAAAATATGTGAAAATATCGACTTAAAGTGCTTTTTCCCTAAGATTTCTGAGAAAAAGTCGGAATTCTGAGAAAAAAATCTTGAATTCTGGGAAAATAAATAAAATGTAAGAAAAAGTCAGATTTAACAAAAAAAGTCAAATTTAACAAAAAAATATTTTGAAAATAAGTTGGAATTCTGATTTAAGTGTTCTTACGGAAAGTGCTACGATCGGTGAGGAACGACACGTGGGAAATAAAACAAATTGGCGTCTAGAGAAGGGGTCGCAAACAGGGATCAATATCTCTCATTGAACCCTGTGAAGCTGACCGTTGAGCAGCCCGACCAAGCAAGGAGGCAGAGGCAGAGAATTCAAATACAACCCGGTGTGGGCATTTATTCATCCAGCCTCAATATTGCTGTCCACCTGAACACAGTCAGCAGCCACAAGGATCTCACACACACTACCTGTCCACTGACAGGGAAAACAGCCTAAATACACACACACTAATCAGGCCAATAAGACACAGGTGGGGGAGGAGACAACACAGGGCACCAGGTGAACACAATCACCAGCCACAGACAAAACGGGAGGGGGAACACTTTCAAACTAAACCACATGTGCAATATTACAAGGCCCGAAGCCGTCAGTCCACAGTGACAAAGTTACCTTCGTCACAAACCCAGAAAAAGCAGAACACGTAACTTTTTAGCTGCTTTGAAATCCGAGTTAACCGGGAATTGTGAAATATTTAAATCGCATTAAATACATTATTTGTTAAAGGGGACCTATCATGCAAAATGCACTTGTGTACGTCTTTTCTACATGAATATGTGTCCCCGGTGTTCCAGGGAACTCACCAAGTGTCAGAAAACACAACCCTCTCTATTTTCCTCCATACCCAAATCTCTAAAAAAGGGGCTGCAACGGATCTGATAAAAACTGATCCAGATTTGAACACTGTCCTGACGTCAGGACGGTGGCGCTACGGCTATTGGGCCAACTCCACCAATCAGGAGGAGACAGCCACGGCCATTGCCGTTAGAAAGCGCTGGAGACGCTGTAGTACATATGCCAGGCCTGTAGGTGGTGCTGTTCTCACTGAATCAGCCCTTGCTAAAACAGAGCTAAAAAATGTCAAATTGAGCAAAATGAGGCATGGCTAAAATGCATGATCTGTTTGGTATTTTGAAAAGAAAAAAGTATAAATATGCCTTATATAGGTATGGTCCTACACTATATTATTATAATATAGCATGATAGGTCCACTGTTAAAAATATGTGAAAATATCGACCTAAAGTGCTTTTTCCCAAACATTTCTGAGAAAAAGTCGTAATTTTGAGAGAAAATCTTGAATTCTGGGAAAATAAATCAAATGTAAGAAAAAGTCAGAATTTTTTGGAAAAAGTCAAATTTAACTAAAAAAGACAGATTTATTTGAAAATAAGTTGGAATTCTGATTTAAGTATTCTTACGGAAAGTGCTGCGATCGGTGAGGAATGACACACGAGAAATAAAACAAATTGGCGTCTAGAAGGGGTCGCAAACAGGGATCAATATCTCTCACTGAACCCAGAAAAAGCACAACACGTTAACTTTTTAGCTGCTTTGAAATCCGAAGTAAACGGTAATTGTGCAATATTTAAATGGCATTCAACACATTATTTGGTAACGTTAAAGCACGTGAAAATGTCTGAATGAACCGTTAAGTGTTATTTTCTAAGACTTCAGAGATTAAAGTCTTACCTTTAAACCGCCATTTACTGACGAACGGAGGGAGGAGGAAACGTTTGGTCTGTGGTTGAGACCACAGAGTGATGTAATTGTTGGATGATATCTGCATGTTTAAATCATTAACCTCTTACATTTCTGAGGGTTTTTGTATTTGTAAATGCATGAAATATTTTCTCCATCTTCCTCCGCTCAGGTGGTTCGATAAGTCTTTCTCCATCGTGATCTACAAGAACGGGAAGAGTGGCCTCAACGCAGAACACTCCTGGGCCGACGCACCTACTGTGGCTCACCTGTGGGAGGTGTGTGTGTGTGTGTGTGTGTGTGTGGTGTGTGTGTGTGTGTGTGTGTGTGTGTGTGTGTGTGTGTGTGTGTGTGTGTGTGTGTGTGTGTGTGTGTGTGTGTGTGTGTGTGTGTGATGTGTGTGTGTGTGTGTGTGTGTGTGTGTGTGTGTGTGTGTGTGTGTGTGTGTGTGTGTGTGTGTGTGTGTGTGTGTGTGTGTGTGTCGTGTGTGTGTGTTGTGTGTGTGTGGTGTGTGTGTGTGTGTGTGTGGTGTGTGTGTGTGTGTGTGTGTGTGTGTGTGTGTGTGTGTGTGTGTGTGTGTGTGTGTGTGTGTGTGTGTGTGTGTGGGCTGTGCGATTATGGCAAAAATCATAATCACGATTATTTTGGTCAATAATTGATATCACGATTATTAAAAACGATTATCCATTTACTTTGAAAACATCCATATATTGAAAAAACAGTATGTTTTTAACAGTTGAGTACCCTGAACTTTAAGTATAATTAAACTGAAAAACCAATAAAAAAAAAAATTAATTTTTAAAAAAAAAATTTTTTTATAAAAATAATAATCGTTTTATTTCGATTACATTGTTTTCGTAATCGTTGCAAGCCAAAATCGTAATCGAGATTAAAATACGATTAATTGCACAGCCCTAGTGTGTGTGTCATGTTTGTGAAAGTGAACTACACAGTCAGGATGGAGTAGTTCTGCCTGTTTGTCGCGTAAACAATGATCATTCAAACCAAATGTAAAGCTGATTCTTGCCTTTCCAAACACATGGCTGTGTTTAGAGGCGAGTTTATTTATGTATAGAAGCCATCACCACAAGCCAACTCAAAGTGCTTTACAAACGCCAAAGACATTGGGAACTAGTGCCGCTGAAACACTGTTTAAAATACATGAATGAACCTCTCTCTCTTAAATCCTCCCAGAGACCTTTTTGCCTTTCCCAAAAACACCCTTTCTTTTTTGGATGAGGATATTTAAACATATTTCTTTGAGACTCCCAGAATCTGGACGTTAAACTTATAGAAATGTCTTTAAGCCTCCCGGAGAAAAGTTACAGTGCCGTGTAAGATATGAATAGTTCAATTAAAAGTCTTCAGCCTGGATTTAAAAGTAGTCAGAGGGGCTGATAGCTAGCAGGCAGGCAGGCCATGTAATTGTTCTCAATACAAAATCATCAAAGACTGCTCAATTGTCCAAATAAAAGTCCTCTTTCATCCTCAGTTTGGTTAAATATATTTATTTATTTAGTGCTTTGTTCACTAGAGAAACCCAAATCACTCTAAGCTGCGTTTCGTCGCCCAGATGTTAGTCGCTGAGTGTGAGAAGACACCAGAGCACCATGTGGTTCTCAGAGTGCATTCGAACATACTTTACACTCTACTTATTACATGGCTTAGTTGAATACTCGATTCTGATTGGCCGATTCAGAACACGTGACACGTTGTTAATCCAGAACAGACAGACCGCTGTCCAGCACCTATTGACCGTTGTTAAGGACGCTCACATCTGCAGAAAGAAGTCCGATCGATTGAACTGTATTCAGTTTTTTAAATCAATAAAAACATTTCAATTAATATTGGGAGTCATATCGTTACTCTGTTGTGAATGTGGCCGTGATCTGCGTCGGGCTCCTGGTCCGCCTGGCGGGTGTTCGTTTGCCCTTAATGACCGCCTCGCTGCACATTAGCCCTTATGCACTCATCACATATAGATCATCTACAGCAGGGGGGTCAAACTCAATTTCATGGCGGGCCACATCAGCATTAAGGTTGCACTCAAAGGGCCGGTTGTAACTTTTAGACTATATAAATATACATATATAAAATAATGTATTATATCACATGATTGCCTCTGCATTGGATTATTATCTGATAGGGTAATAACTTCATAATTAACTTAGTCTGAAAGCAGAAGTCTAGGGCAAATAATTGCAAGACTCTTCATGTCACAAAATGAGATGCATTGTGGGACATGTAGTTTATGGGCTACGTGCTTTAGTAAAGCGGCATGTAACCGTATAATAAACGTATTATATTCTTTGCAAGCACATCAAATGAAGTTGCGCCCTTGAGTTTAGCCTCTTACACACCAAACTGACACCAAACTGACACCAGACTGACACCAGACTGACACCAGACTGACACCAGACTGACACCAGACTGACACCAGACTGACACCACACTGACACCACACTGACACCAAACTGACACCAGACTGACACCAGACTGACACCACACTGACACCACACTGACACCAGACTGACACCACACTGACACCACACTGACACCAAACTGACACCACACTGACACCACACTGACACCAGACTGACACCAGACTGACACACCAAACTGACACCAAACTGACACCAGACTGACACACCAAACTGACACCAGACTGACACCACACTGACACCAAACTGACACCACACTGACACCAAACTGACACCAAACTGACACCACACTGACACCAGACTGACACCAGACTGACACCAGACTGACACCAGACTGACACCAAACGGACACCAAACTGACACCAAACTGACACCAAAGAACACGTCCTCACGTCTCCTGCGTCTTGGCCATGTGTCGCACTGGAACACACCGCAAAGACTTCAGCCGACGTCCAAGTAGCATGTACGAACTGCGCATGCGTGAGTGGCAATAACTCTCCTTACCAGCAGGCGGCGGTAGTGTGTATGCGTCATTCAAAAGAGGCAACCGGAAGACAGACTGCGTGGTACACCGAGAGAAGAAGAACAGACTGCGTGATATAAACAAACAACAAATAGCGTGCGTTCCATGTTCACTCTACAGCCAGAAGCTCACGGGGCTTTCCCGAACCTGTGTCGAGAGCTGGAGTTAAATGAAGTCTCAGATTTGCCTTCTTAATAGTTTGTTTGGGTCCCTCACTTCCCTTTCGCTTCTCATGCTCTGATTCGCTAAGCTGAACAGCCAATCAGAGTGATTTCTTTGGAAGACGGCCTCCCGATTCAACAAGTCGAATCGGTGGCGGAAGGTGTCAGCACGGCCGAAAAGACAAGACGGTGCGGGACACACCAATCTGAGTAGGGCGATAGGACGCTCACCGACGGCCCGACATCTATCGGCTTGGTGTGTGAGGGAGCTTTTGACACCGTTGTTGTGAGTGTGGACGGTCGGAGCATATACTGCGTTAGCTTAGCCGATCTCCATTCAGAAAACACGCATTTTAAAAGGTTTTTCGCCTGCCGTCTGTCTGCAGACTTGACAAAGCATTAATTCATGGTTTTTACTAACCTGTATCAGTATGTTGTTACTTCGGCATCATTTTGAAACGTGTATTACAATTAAATCACGGTCAAATATGTTCATTCATCACAGTTGTAGTTGTAGCCCCCTTGCCAGCGATTCTCTCTCTAGTTTAGCAAACTCAGCCCGACTCAGCCCGGTTGTTGGCCCAGAAAAAACCTGGATTTTGGAGGGCCAGAAAAACTGTAAAAGTCCCCGTTAGCCGGAACTACCCCTAGTGAAAACGCAACCAAAAACGGGCCGGGTTTGGCAGTGGAAATGCGCCATTAGAGAGATGAGTCACAGGAAGGAAGGCAACCCACATTACAGTCCAAGGGGGGCAGACAGAAGGGGAAGTGCAGCATGTTAATTACAAACCATAAAATCCATAGGATAATTTCATGAGACTGGTCAGGGCGACAACCTTCTGTCTGAGAACATTTTGAAGCCAGGAAACCTCTATACATATTGAATCACTTCCCATCATAGATAGCTTATGCACAAACTAATGTAAGGTTGTGTAAGATAAGATAAGATGGACCTTTGTTAATCCCTGTGGGGAAATTAAATAAACAGCAACAGGGTGAGAATGAAAAACAGGACGACACAGATTAGAGATTAATACAATCAAAGATAAAATCAAAGATGCAATTAAAATGATGTATAGTTAGTAACTTTAAAATACGAAATGAATTAAGTAGCTTCCTTCTGAACAACAGAAAATGTGCTCTGAAGTGCAGAAATGCATGATTTTGTTTGACCTCGCTGTACAAACAATAGGAAGCAAATTAAAGTGAGTTGTGTGTGTGTGTGTGTGTGTCATAAATGCCCATTTCTGCCTGGTTTCTAGCCTGTATTATCAGAATCAGAATACCTTTATTCGTCCCACAGAGGGGACATTTACATTTGTTACAGCAAAAAAAGAGCCAAAAACAGCTTAATGTTAATTGTGTGTGATAATGTGTGTGTGTGTGTGTGTGTGTGTGTGTGTGTGTGTGTTGCAGTACACTCTGGCCACCGATGCCTTCCAGCTGGGATACACTGAGGACGGACACTGTAAAGGAGACGTGGACCGGTCACTTCCCCTCCCTCAGAAACTGACCTGGGACATTCCCTCAGAGGTAAACACACACACACACACACACACACACACACACACACCTGGGACATTCCCTCAGAGGTAAACACACACACACACACACACACACACACACACACACACACCTGGGACATTCCCTCGGAGGTAAACACACACACACACACACACACACACACACACACACACAACCACACACACACCTGGGACATTCCCTCAGAGGTACACACACACACACACACACACACACACACACACACCTGGGACATTCCCTCAGAGGTACACACACACACACACACACACACACACACACACACACCTGGGACATTCCCTCAGAGGTACACACACACACACACACACACACACACTTACTTTTACTTTCAGTATGTACTGCAGCTGCCCTTACAAAGCATATACTGTTTCATGCAGTATACCCACTAATTTGCCAGTTGGTGTGCCAGAAAAGTGGACGTATGTATTTCTGTGTTGGTCCCTGAAGGCAGCATCTCCCTGGTCCAATGGGATTCCTCCATATGATTTTGGATAAAAAATCACCACATATTAACACCACTTTACATCACGTCACCACCGCTAAGCTAAAGGCGGCTAATGTTGGGCTATAAAGAAACTACAGCACGGTCACATGACTTCACGTCACCACCGCTAAGCTAAAGGCGGCTAATGTTGGGCTATAAAGGAACTACAGCACGGTCACATGACTTCACGTCACCACCGCTAAGCTAAAGGCGGCTAATGTTGGGCTATAAAGGAACTACAGCACGGTCACATGACTTCACGTCACCACCGCTAAGCTAAAGGTGGCTAATGTTGGGCTACAAAGGAGCTACAGCACGGTCACATGACTTCACGTCACCACCACTAAGCTAAAGGCGGCTAATGTTGGGCTATAAAGGAACTACAGGACGGTCACATGACTTCACGTCACCACCGCTAAGCTAAAGGTGGCTAATGTTGGGCTATAAAGGAGCTACAGCACGGTCACATGACTTCACGTTACCACCGCTAAGCTAAAGGTGGCTAATGTTGGGCTATAAAGGAACTACAGCACGGTCACATGACTTCACGTCACCACCGCTAAGCTAAAGGCGGCTAATGTTGGGCTATAAAGGAACTACAGCACGGTCACATGACTTCACGTCACCACCGCTAAGCTAAAGGTGGCTAATGTTGGGCTATAAAGGAGCTACAGCACGGTCACATGACTTCACGTTACCACCGCTAAGCTAAAGGTGGCTAATGTTGGGCTATAAAGGAACTACAGCACGGTCACATGACTTCACGTTACCACCGCTAAGCTAAAGGAGGCTAATGTTGGGCTATAAAGGAACTACAGCACGGTCACATGACTTCACGTCACCACCGCTAAGGTAAAGGTGGCTAATGTTGGGCTATAAAGGAACTACAGCACGGTCACTTGACTTCACGTCACCACCGCTAAGCTAAAGGAGGCTAATGTTAGGCTATAAAGGAACTACAGCACGGTCACATGACTTCACGTCACCACCGCTAAGCTAAAGTTGGCTAATGTTGGGCTATAAAGGAACTACAGCACGGTCACATGACTTCACGTCACCACCGCTAAGCTAAAGGTGGCTAATGTTGGGCTATAAAGGAACTACAGCACGGTCACATGACTTCACGTCACCACCGCTAAGCTAAAGGAGGCTAATGTTGGGCTATAGAGGAACTACAGCACGGTCACATGACTTCACGTCACCACCGCTAAGCTAAAGGTGGCTAATGTTGGGCTATAAAGGAACTACAGCATGGTCACATGACTTCACGTCACCACCGCTAAGCTAAAGGTGGCTAATGTTGGGCTATAAAGGAACTACAGCACGGTCACATGACTTCATGTCACCACCGCTAAGCTAAAGGTGGCTAATGTTGGGCTATATAGGAACTACAGCACGGTCACATGACTTCACGTCACCACCGCTAAGCTAAAGGTGGCTAATGTTGGGCTATAAAGGAACTACAGCAAAGAAACACCGCCTTAAAGGTCCCATGTCATGCTTTTCTGGTTCTCACCCGTCCCCTTGTGTTATGAAGCTTCTGCATGTAAACGGTCTGTAGAGTCACAAACCCTCAAAGTACACCCTGTAGCGAGTAAAACTCTAACACAGAAAAGACCTGTCTATGCTGCCCCAGAACGCCTCGTTGGACATTTTTCTTTTTCCATTGTTTTCTTCTTATAGTGTCGTAAGTACAGTGACGTATTGGGTATAGTGACGTAACGTCCATTTGTACCAATCCGCGGACTTCCTCACACACACACACAATCTTTTCTCAGCTGCAGCTCCGCGGATTTCTCAGCCTGAGATGGCGAGACGCGGCGGGGCTCAGCCTGGGCTCGTTCTGAGCACACACACAGACTCACAGCCAGGCTGCAGGTGTGTGTGTGCTCGGGCTGGGTTCAGGCTGGGTTTCGCTGTGTCTCGCCGTCTCGCAGACCCCACGCAGCAACCAGGAAACGACCCCAGTAATCCAGCTCACACTGTCCGCTCCTCACAGCAGCGAGCCCCGCAACGTCCCGCCAACACGGCACCCAGACCCCACACAGCATTCTCATCTGTTTGTCATTACTGGTGTCATTTCCTGGTTGCTAACAAACGCCATTGTAACACATAATCACTGATGTTCTGCTGTAACGGTGGTGGACTCATCAGAACAGAGTGGGCGAGCTGACCAATCAGAGCACACTGGGCTCACAGGGAGGGGGGGGGGCAAGAGCTCCAACAAGGCGTGTAGGACAGAGAGTGAATACACTTACTATACAGAGATGCTGTATGAGAAACCAATGTGAGTTTGGAACATTGAACAATATACATCTATTCTAGTAGACCTCAACAATGGAATTATGATCAGTAGAAATTGCCGTGAGTCATGGGACTTTTAAGCTTGTTATGGAGTTATTGTAATATTTAAAGCAGTTCCTGTTGTTTTTATCGCAGACTGTGAAAATTGATAACAATAAAAGTATTCTCTGATTCAGGATGTCAGTGGGGTTTAGGGTGTGATGGAGGAAAAAGATAAAGCTTCTGGGAAAGACTCCAAAACGCACCGGCATGACTTCAGTGTCGTGCTGTCAACAGGAATTAATATGATCTAATCTGCAGAGTAAAGGGACTCGTGAGGGACTAACAGTTATGCAGTTATGATAAGATGGTCTTTCATTGATCCCAGTGTGGACATCCAGGTGTTAAAGCAGCAACAGAATAAGACAGAAACACATATAGTACACATGGGAATAAACACAGGGGTAATAAGAAGAAAAAGTAAATAAATCAATTAATTTAGAAAATATTTTTGCAGATAATAAAAAATTATGATTTCTTCTTAGACAAAGAAATATATAAAAACATAATTTTTTGTTTTTTTCTACTGCCACTAACAATATGATTTTAAGAGCTTATAATGATAAAGATATTTTTTATTTATTTAGCTTTTGATTTCCTTTCAATTCTCTATTTATTGTGTGAATTTTTAACCAAATCTATTCTTATAAGTGAGATATTTGGGTCATTTTGGATACATTTTCCAATATTTTTTGGGCATTTAACATAAATATTATAATAATACAATTAAAATAAGAATAAACATGTAACAGTATGAGTAGAGATAACAGATGCTTGATGCGTGTACAGGCAGGAAGTAAGATAATGAAAACACTCAGGTATGAACACGGTATGAAATGCAGTCGTGCAAACTAAAACAGGTGAAAAATGTAAGATTTGTTTTTAAAAAGGATGCCTGTGATTCTTATCCTGGCAAAGGCCGACAATTTATGCATTAAAAATAAATAAATAATGTAACCTTGAAATGCTTCTGCTATAATCCAAAAGCCAATGGAAAAATCCCATTGGCTTTTAGTGGAGGGAGCCAGGGAGATGCTGCCTTCAGGGACCAACACAGAAATCTGCATCACCGGCTTCATGTCTCAGTCTTTGGGTTTAATCAGTATTATTTATATAAAAAAAATAATATTTTTTACATTCAAAGCAGCTATTGAGGTTTCCAAATATAGTTTTTATTGTCCCATATCAGTAAAGGAAGTACGGTCACATGACCACCGCTAAGCTAAAGGTGGCTAATGTTGGGCTATAAAGGAACTACAGCACGGTCACATGACTTCACGTCACCACCGCTAAGCTAAAGGAGGCTAATGTTGGGCTATAAAGGAACTACGGCACGGTCACATGACTTCACGTCACCACCGCTAAGCTAAAGGTGGCTAATGTTGGGCAATAAAGGAACTACAGCACGGTCACATGACTTCACGTCACCACCGCTAAGCTAAAGGTGGCTAATGTTGGGCTATAAAGGAACTACAGCACGGTCACATGACTTCACGTCACCACCGCTAAGCTAAAGGTGCCTAATGTTGGGCAATAAAGGAACTACAGCACGGTCACATGACTTCACGTCACCACCGCTAAGCTAAAGGTGGCTAATGTTGGGCTATAAAGGAACTACAGCACGGTCACATGACTTCACATCACCACCGCTAAGCTAAAGGAGGCTAATGTTGGGCTATAAAGGAACTACAGCACGGTCACATGACTTCACGTCACCACCGCTAAGCTAAAGGTGGCTAACGTTGGGCTATATAGGAACTACAGCATTGTCACATGACTTCACGTCACCACCGCTAAGCTAAAGGTGGCTAATGTTGGTAGCTTCTTCTGCATGTTTAAAATGAATCCCAGATGTTCTGGATGTCAGGTCACTTCCCATCTGCATCGAGGCTCCGAATTGCCAAAATGTGACTGCCAGGTGCTTCTGGAAAAATAAATAACCTGATTTTTACGGCACTGGCACCTAAAAGTCGGCACCATTCCCAGCCCAAACAATGAGAGACTGTTCAGCTTCATATTTTAGAAATGGGTCGTCTTGTCTCACTAAGAAGTAGGCATTAAAGTACCCTTAATTAAAAAATATCCTAAACGTGAGAGAAATTAAAAGGTTTTTCTTAAAAGGCCAATACATTTTTCAGTTGCTAAG